GCAACCATTTTTGGGTTCAGTTATTTAAAAATGCATAGCAACAGTTCAGGAGAGTAAGCAAAGAAGAATCTCGTGTTTTAAGTGAAATTATAGGAGGATTTTAGGGAGGGAAAATATATTTTCCCACATTGGAATTTAACCAGATGTTGTAGCTAACATCTATATGAGTACGTCTACACTGCAACACTATTTTGAAATAACTAGCACTATTCCGAAATAACTTAGTCCATGTCTATACAGCAGGCAGTTATTTCGAAATAGTGTCAAAATACTGTCAAGCTGGAGGACTTCTTACTCCGACTCCTGTAACCCTCATTGTACGAGGAATAAGAGAAGTCAGAGGAAGAGTGTTCTATTTCGAAATAAGATATGCAATTGATGTAGCTCAATTTGCATAGCTTATTTCAAATTGAGCCCTGCAGTGTAGATGCACCTTATAAGTACAGAGGGAAAATAGCCCGGATTTTAATAGGCACAAGTGGCCATAATCTCTTTCATTTGTATCTCATGTGACAGACACCTCCTGGAGATATATTTGCAAATGTATTTATTTTACATGTTCCTGCAGAGGCAAAAGCTAATCTTATGTTGTAGCTGCTGTTTTTTTTATTTATAAATAATAAAATTGTGTGTGAAACTCTTCCCATCCAAGGCATCTGGGGCTTTTGTTTTGTTTAATTAAAAACTTCAACAAAAACAGAATTAAATAATACTTCCCTGAACAATTAGCTAGATAAAGCAAATGAAGGGTGAAGTGAAGATTAACATGTGTGGCTCCTGCAGTGGGGGTACCCAGTAAGGGAGCACAGTATTTTGTAATTCATGAAAGACCTGAACTCTGTACTGAAGGCTTCGAGTTTCACTTGGATATAGCTTTTGGACATTGGTGGAAGTGTGAGGTTGGCTAGTTCACATAAATGTCCATCAGGGACCATTTCAAACAGTTGCATTTAGCCACTGAAACTCTTTTCCCCATATTTTTATGGACATACATTTTCAATATGAATATGCCTAACTCAAATATGTTTTATGCAAAATTTATCAGAAGCTTATCATTGGAAAACTTGAATGTATATATTCTATTTGTGTGAATGTATCATTCCTGTATTTGAAGTTTAAAATATGAAGGTGATGGTTTCAAGAGAATCTCTGTAACCTAACTTGGATAGTCCATGTAAATGCCCATCAAAGACCATTTCAGAGAGCTGTGTGTAACCACTGAAACGCTTTTCCCTATATGCACAACACCTCCCAAAGTGTTGGGCACTTCAGGAAATGACAAAAGCATAGCACATCTGTATTTGCACATGTTGCACCACTGGAAACTCTGTATCTTGACACGGCTGGGAATTTATCCAGTCTGATGTAAATAATGGTGGCAACATAATCTCTTTGCTGCTCTAATTTTGACATTTTTTCATATAGGGACCAATGGGTGCCTGTGGATACTGGGGATGAACCACCCTTGCTAGGCATCATCTTTTAATAGTTGGAGCAGAGTTTGTAATTCCATACATGTGAGCTCTATCCCAAATTCAATCATTGTGTAACCTTGGATAAATAACTTTAGCTTTCTGTGCCTCCATTTCCCTCCCTAAAAAATGGAACAAAGACAAAGAAAATCCTCAAACTTGCAAGGTGTTTGTCTTGGGGGTGAGGAGTGGGATTCAGTTATTTCCTTTGAAGAGAGCTGTTTAAATCTGGCCCGTGTCATCAGTGATGGTGTTGTTCCTTTCTGAGGGCTGTTTGGTGGCCTGTTGATTCCAGCTACCAGAGGGTAAGGGTTCATGTAGATTTAACTGTCCTTGTCAGCCTATTTATTGAAAGCTTCATTACAGAAATTGAATCTGTGCCCTTTTCTCATTTGATTGCATCTCCTCTGGGTTAAAGCACATTGTGGGAACATTGTGTGGGACATTTGCACTTCTGCTGCCCATGCTGTACCAGTCCTGTGAATAAAAGAGCGCTTTGCTCTCCAGTGCTGCTAGCCCAACGCTTACACTCACTTAACATTAAATGAAAGATGCAGTGTAAAGCTTAGCTGAAATTGAAAGTCACCAGTAAATCTCTGCTTCCATGTTCCCGTTGTGTAATCTGAACAGAACATATTAAGTTGCTGCTGTGATGGTTGTTTGTTTAAATACCACCTCACAGCACCATCAACTTTGAAAGATTTCATTATGATCTTACTTGTTTGCTAAGTGTAGGGTAATGCATTACTCTTGCATTTAATCCGTATTGGGTAGTCAAATTAAAGGGCACAAATATAATTCACAGTTTACCACATATGCAATCAGTTAAATGTTTCAGTTAATTATCAGTTTAATTTTTAATCATACACAATGTCATCAGCTTAATAGGAAAGACAAAACACAATCTGTGCCCCCAAAAGACTGAATCTGTGGGTTTGATTTTTGACACTTTCACTCCAGTTTAGTAATATCCTACTCCACAAATAACCCCATGGGGAACGTTGGTTTGAAAACAAGAGTAGTGTGATAGAATCTGGCTCTGATGATTTTTGTACGAGAAGCAAGGACTGCTTGTTTAAACTATACTTTTTAATTTCATAGTGCCATTTTAAAGCTCACAGAGTGTAGGTGGAAATAGTCTGACAGTGAGTAAAAGCCATTTGTTGAACAGGGTTTTGGGGGAGGCTGAGTGTATGCTTCTGGGAAGGCTAAAGAGACTATCGTGCAGCTTTTGCTTTTTTTTTTCTGAGTTAATCTATCTGTGTATGATTGCTGCTGTAAAGTTCTCATTTGCACTTGTAAGCCTAAGAAGTGATTGGTAGATGTTGGCATGGGCATTTTTTTTTACCCTGGTATAAATCTAAATAAATAAATGTTACTCCTAGTTTGGCTGCTGTAAATTATGCATAATTCCCTCAACATCCAGATGGAACCATTTTGTGCAGCTATAAATGTAACTGTTTCCATAGGCGTACTGAAAGGGCTTCTGTTTTAAGCATGTATTGATTGATTAATCTGGAGTGGTATCTGGAAATGACCATCAAGGAATGGAGGGTCCATGCAGGTAAGAGTGGTCATAGGGTGGAGCAGATATTAAACTGACAGCGTGAAACCCATTCATTTTTTTTTACAGGCAGTGTTTTCATAGTGAAGGGGTTTCTATAACCTGCATATGAGCAAAACCAGCGATTGTATGTTGGTGCGGTTTGTGTCTCTAAAACTGATCTGCAACATATTGGGCATCTTGGGTTGTTTGCTGATTCCTCCAATAGCAATGCTCCTGGAGTGGAACCTGAACTCCAGTCAAGAAAAAGTCCTGACTAATGTGCTTCATCCAGCTAAAGTGCTGCCTGCGTTAAACATATAATCTCTTAATACATCAGGAAACTCCGTGTTGATCCTTTTATATTCAGCTGTGACTGATGCCAGTTGAAGGGACTTGTGGTTGCAGCTAGCTGTGCATTAAAGCCTTGTTCTTAATCTAACATTCAAGCTGTCCTTCAAGACAACTCCTTAGATGTCAGGCAGCGACATAAGCAAAGCTGAAGTTATTTGGTGGCTTCCCTATCATCACACCAGATTCTTCCTCCCGATTTGCCTCACCCAGTCCTTGCCCACTTCTGTCAGTGCATTAAGGAATAAATAGAAGTCCTAGCAGGGGAGCTGTGCATAGAGTATATTCTAAAAGGGACTTAAAAAAGAACCCTAAGTCTGGCTTAGGAAAAAGATGGTAGATTTGGTTTTAGCAGTAAGAATGGCACAGATCATTGTGTAACACCCTGACTTAATCTTTCCCATAGTTCCCAAACAGATACCTTCCTTTCTCCCTGGCTTCCCTCACATCCTCTATCTTCTAGCCACATCAGTGTGGGAGTGTGCTTAGCAGTTGCACTAGTCTAGTCTCATCATAAGTTTAATGATGGGCTATATAGAGTCTCTATTAACACACCTCCACTGCAGGAAGCACCTGCCTGGTACCTCCCATAATCTCACACTCACTTTTTGCTAGTACAGTTTCAAAGTATGTTGCTACTAATGAAAAACCAGTTTTCTGGTGTTCCAGATCCATTCATATGGAGGAAAAGCTCTCATGCTGGTTGAATCCATGGGATGTTGACTGAACTCCAGGAGGGCACTGTTCTGTGTCTAATGGGCATGGAAATGCCCAACTTTTGTAGCCCACTCATCTCTGGCATCAAAGTAGTGTTGAAATACTATGCAGTGTCTCTTTTTAAGGTTTCTTGTGGGTCTTCTCTAAAGTCCCACTATCAATACACAGCAATAGTTTATTTTTATTTCTGCAGTGAGCAGGAGGCCTCCCCAGGATCTGTCACTTTGTCTTCTTGCTACCTCTCCTTAGCTCCAACAGTCACAGATGGTGTTGGACCTTTCTCTGCTCCTGAGTAATCTACACAGTAATTCCATAGGAAAACAAATTCTAATCTCATAGAGGCCAATTTTAATTCTATAACTGGGTCAAATTATTAACTTGTAAATGTTTAAGGTCCTGCAGCCATATTTTTACAGACCAAGAGGGTTGTCCTTTCACGGCTAGCCTTGCATTACCATTTTGCACTTTTGCCATTGTTCCACTGAAATTAATGAATCATTGGAGCATATGGGGTACATTTGAGGTGTGGGGTGGGGGAATTGTGTATGGCAGGACCATTCTATTGGTCAGCAGTCAGTTCTACTCAGATGAGTTTGCTTACGCTCCTAGCTGATGAATCCCTCTGACCAGCCCTTATTTCAGTTAGGTTGGTTCTCATTAGCTAAGTCTAAGGACAGTACGTCCGTGAACCAGCCTGAGGGAGTCTTGTCTAAAACACTGTTTTATAGACATTCAGGACACTTGGGCTGAAGGGACCCACTTGAGCCCAACTTGTAAGTGACAGCCTAGTCAAGCAGTGGCTGCAAACTCCAATAAGTTGCAAAACTTGTGTGTTAGCAAATGATGAGCCACCTAAGTATAGGTCTTGCTCCAGAATTATCATGAAATCACTCGTTGAACATTAAGGAAGTACTCACCAAGCCACTTCCTTCAAGTTTTAACGTGTGAGATGGGGGCCTCTTCTCCCCTGATGCACTTGATACATAGTGTCCGTCATCCCTATAAGTAGTTAGGAAGATGCTCCACAGGTAGAGCAATGTGTCCTCCTTAAAGACAGCAGTGAAATTCCATCACCTTCACATTTAACTTCTCACACAGGCAAAACTTCTGTTATTGTTCTTGCTCAGTGCTACTCACTCTGCCTCTTACTTCTCCTTGCTCGTAAAAAATAAGTAATGTGCAAAAATTGCCAAAGAACCAGCTGCCATCTCATCAAAAACATTATAAATAGAAAACATTTCCAGCAATTGCGCTTTCATAGCTGGTATCCTCTTTCTCTTCTTCCTCTTTTATTGCCAGGGATCTTAGTATGCAGGGCGAAGTGCAGCTTTGAGTTTCTTCACTGTCCATCTGCTCTGAAAGTTTTTCCTGTTCTATCTATGATATCACAGTTAGTTGCCATGGTGCTGTAACTGAGCACGGATGATGTCAGGTGGGGACTGAACTGTAGGTGTCTGCTTGGAGAAAAGCAGCTCACATCTTTTATGCATGTGGATAACTTATTTGAAAGTGCTTGTCTCCTCTCTAACATGGTTTTACTCAGAAATCACTAGTTACCACTCACACCTTCACGCTCAATGCATAGCCAGTCCTGCTTCTACAGTTGATCGTGTGTGGGTCGGTTGCTATACCATACAAAGACACATTGGAGTAAGTGGGCTCTAAATAGGCTCAACAGTTCATCAGTGTGCTATCAGTTGCAGAAATGCAGCCTAGTTTGTTAGTTTGTTCATTTGCAAGTCATCAGCTGACTGTGCAAATGTCCTGAGCTGGCTCAATACAGCAGAAATGGTGTTTGTGAACACTCATTCTCATTTGCAAACATTTGTTCGGTCTGATTATGCTTGTGGCCTCTTATTCTTGACTCTTCATATGGGATGGGTTTCTGTTTGTAAGGAGACTGAGGAAATGGATTCCCTTTGGAAGAGTATCCACAGTCATATACAGAACAGGGGCTCAACGTGTGGAGAATGGTATTAATTATTCTTCTGTTGGAGAAGTTTCATCTAATGAAGGATCACAAAGGGGATCAATCACAGACCTTGATTATCAAAGAGAGCAGTCCCCCAGCAGCCCTTAGGCTGAGAATTGTTAAATAGCAAATTCACTGGCAGAGATCAGGACCAGTTCCTGAACAGAAAAAAAGTCTGGAATTTCTCAATCATTTATTTGCAGTAAGTTGAATCAGCCCGACAAACTCCTGACAGATTACTTGCTTGTATCACCCTTTGTTTTAATGATGCTACACTGCACAGAGATGATAGTGATTTAGGCAGAACAGGACCCAACTGGCTATTCAAATAGCTCTGTCAGTTCTATCAGACTAACGGGGAGAGCTCATTTGTTTCAGAACAATCAGAAGCTGTGGCTCTGAGCCATGGTGAGTGAGAAGATGCTGTGTCTTTACACAGTCGTATTTCTGACCGTCATCTCAGTTGACTAAACCCCAGAGAGTCCCAATATCTGTATAGAAAAGATGGCTTTGCATCTGAAAGTACAATAAGCGCTAAACATTGCTTTACTAAGACTCCTCGCAATGTGCATGCAGTGTAAGCCAAGACTGGAGCATTAGACATGAGTATTGGATCATTTCAGTCTTGTCAACCTGCCCTTCAAGAAATTCTGCCTTCTGTTTCCTCCATGGTGTGTGCATTACCCCATATTCACTACCCCCATTAAAGCTCCATTCACAGCCCCAGTTAAGTGTCCTAACAGCAGTGACCTCTAAGCAATACTTGGAAGAGGAGACACTGTGTTCCTGTAGTCACTGCAGAGCAGCATATGTTGGGTTTCCGAAGGAGCTTTCTGTATTGGCACAGCCAGAACCTTTGCTGGTTAGTTCAATACATCATTTCATAGTATAGGCTTTGGGCCAAATTCTGTTCTCACATCTATTTTACAATCTCCCACAGCTCCATTGAGCCTCAGTAAATTTGCACCATTTTAACTGAGAGCGGAATTTGGGCCCCATAGCAACCTACCTGCCCTGCAGACATGGAATTCATTTTCATGCCATTGGAGTGCCTTTGTCACTCAAATGGCACAAGCTAGGAAGTGGAGCTGCAGGGTGGTTTCTCAATGAAGGAGAGAGATGACCCTCCTCACTACACCAATGACTGGCAGCTCTGCCTTTCCTTTGGTCTGTATCCAAGCTGGCTGGCAGTAGGCACTTGGTTACAATCAGACTTTCCTGCCCACCATGAGAGAGTGCATTATTTGTTCTAACTGGCTTTTCACGGCTTCATTTGTACTTTTTCTGAACACACTGGGCAACTCCTATGACAATTGACTATAAAGTGAACTAGTGATCTGGGTAGCTCACAAAGTCTTGACCTACAGCAGCTCCTGTTATGTCGGTTATGATTCCTGCCCATCAATTCTGTCTTACTCATTGATTCCTGGGTTCCCCTGCCATAGGTCTGCCAATGCTGCTTAGTCCTGACTTGCATCACTTTCTGCTGTACTTGTCATGGGCTTCCCACACACACCTGTGCCAAAGCAACTCAAAGCTTAGCTGCAACCCACATGTACACTTTGAATTTAGCACAGTCCACTATTTGAACTTTATTCGCTGGCTGATATGCACACGGTGTCACAGCTCTGGAATTGTGAGCAATTCACATTTCAGAAGTTTGGGGATTAAAGGTGGGCATCTGTGGGAATGGGGAGGAATGGCTGTTTGACTGGTTTCCCTTCAGGAGCATTGTTTGCAAGGAAAATTGCTCTCTCTTTTTTTTTAAATTTAATGGGAGAAAATCCCCCAAAGGAAAAGCCCTGATCTGGGGGAAGGGCATGGCTGAGAATGCTGGGAGAGTCTGTAGGCAGGCTGTTTGCTTCCTGGTTCTCTGGCAATCAGTCAGTTAAGTTAGTGGGTGCTTGGTCTTGGTAGGAGACTTGTAGGCCGAAACCATCCTGGTGTGTGTTATGGTAAGCATCAGGAGGCCCAGTGCCCAGAAGAAACAGTTGTGTGGAGTCTCTCGTATTTAGTGGCATGTTGCTGTTCTGCCAACAGAGACTTAATAAAGCAGAATTCCAGTTCTGCACTGGTTTCACGCCAGACTTATTCCCACCCTCAGCATGTTCCTCAAGCATTGTGCTACACTTCATGAAGTTATGTTGGCAATGATGAGTTCTGGAGGACACAGGAAAGGTGTTTAGCCCTTCACCTACCTTTCTATGCATGTGCCTTCTTAGCATACAGAGAATTATGATCTTGATCCCTTGTGGGTGGGAAAGGGGTAGAAGCTGGGGTTTGGCTCTGAGCACTGGTCCCTTTGCCAGCTTCTGATTAAACTATAGTCAGTCTCACACCAGGGTGATTTTGGTGACTCTCCTAATCAGGCAGGCACTGCAGTAGAGTAGGGTCGGTCTTTAACTCTTGTACTTATCACTGTCCCCAGGCAAAGGACCTGAAACTCTGTATGCTGGGCAGAAACTGAATGACAACGAGTGGCACACAGTCCGGGTGGTGCGGCGTGGAAAGAGCCTCAAGCTGACTGTCGATGATGATGTAGCTGAGGGTGAGTGCAGTGTACTGGTATCTCTACTGTCTCCCATTGTTCTCCGCTTTCTTTCCTCCATCTTTCTGTGAAGGCTTCTCAACTGAGATCATTGTGTTGAAAAGCCTGTGGGGGAGGTGGGGAGGGGGGGAGAAGGCTTTTTCTCCCTAACCAATTGTAGTGCCAGTGACGCTAGAGTGAACCCTGGGAATTGAGATGCGTCAAGGAGAATTCACAAGGGCTTGAAGTCACCCAAAAAGCAAGAAGGAAGCCATAGAATTGTTAGTGATGGAAGGAATTATCTTAATTGGCTGTTGGTTATGTGCCTGCATTCAGCATGTGAGGAATGAGACCCATATTGCCAATCCTAAGCATTCAAAAATGTTAGGTACTCTCCCCTCGTCCACCCTAAAATTGGCTTAAAATCATGCAATTTAAAAAAAAAATGTTGGGTTCATTGGTCTTGAGGTCTTTGATCTGTTGGGGTTCATTGTTTTCCATCTTTGCCTACAACCATGGGAACTAGAAA